TAGGGGATGGGACGCGAAGTCATGGTATGGTATGTCTGGGGAACCGGTGTTCGTGTCGGAGCCCGTGCTATAACTCTCCACTGAATCGCTTCTCCATTTCACGGCATCGGGATCTGGTTTGATGGACACGTGGCCACCGTTTCTGTCACCTATTTCTCGCTGAAGTTTTAACTCCTTTTTCATGTCATTCTTGACGATCACATCCTATTTGAGAGAGTATTGCGTGAGAGAGAGAGAGAGAGAGAGAGAGAGAGAGCTTACATCATATAAATGCAAATAATGATTTAATGTTTTAAAATAACTTATATGAAAACATACTATTTATAGCTATATTACTAAATTTAAATACATTATAATATTAAATAAGAAAAATCAATAAATTATTATATTTTATATTTTTCATACAGTTTTCATTCCCATCGCATAGCACTTCACGAGTCGACACTTTTTGCAGTATTTTCTCGTTTTCAGGTCTATTTCGCAGTTGTCTTTGCGATAGCATTTCAAATCCTATCAAACATTTAATAAATATTGAAAATATTTTTAATTAATTTACAACAAGTTAATCAAACCTTAGATGCGGTGGCATTACGTCGAAAAAATGCTTTACACGGCTGACAGGTGTATGCGTTAAAGTTTTTGCCTAGTTAACACATTTTACATAATTTATAATATAATATAATTTATTATGCCAAGAGATTTATTTTTATTAATAGCCTAAAACTTCTTAATAAACTAAATAATTATTAATTATAAATATGTTTTTTTATTTAATTATACAGTATAATTTATACTAGTTAACAATTTTAATGCTAATTAATATTTTTAAAAATACTTACCAATAGCCCGTTCCCCACAAATTACACATTTTTGTTGACACTCTTGTAGTAAATCACTCATAATTAACACAAAATTTTTAAATAAGATACTAAATTACTTAACAAGTAAAATTATATATATCCAAAAATAAAATGCACTTAATTTACTGTACAAAAATAACTATCATACAGCAATGTCGATAACTATCTATAGATTTTGCTATTGTTTTCCAATATATATATATCATGTATGCACGTATATACTATTGTCACACCAGGTTCATTATAAACAAGTTATTATTATTACTACATATGAAACAAATAGAAACTTATAATTAGTTTCTAAGACGACTAACTTGACAAATAAAAAACACAATAAAATAAATTAATATGACAATATGCTTGCATATAAATTTTATATAAATTTATATATATAGTAATGATAATTATATTATCGCATTTAAATGTAATATTCAATAATATATCAATTAATGGAGTCTTACTGTCAGTACATACGATGATTTGTGTGATATCTAAGTGCGCGCATAATAGGCCTTGAACAAATGAATAGACCATGTAACCTTGGTTATTCGTGCATAAGAATTATCCTTATTATACGCTTTCTCTCTCTCTCTCTCTCTCTCTAAGTTATAACATTATTACACAATAATCAATAAATAATATCATTATATTTGACCCAAACTGACACAAAATTTATTACAAACTATAATAAGTGCTTAATTGAGCAAGTGAAATACAGGGCTAGCATTGATTTTATACAGAATCGTGTGATTGCTATATCATAATAATAATGAAAACTTGTTTAAATGGCAATAATGCATTTATTAATAGTGTACTAGGTTCGTGACATATAATAGTATTCATAATAATATTATATATAATAATTTTATATTATAATGATCTGGGTATAGTATATAAACAAATTCTGCAAAACAAAAAAATGAAAAACAAAACATAGAATAAATATTTATTTAACTGTAAAATTATTTACAGATTTTAACATTTTTAAATATTCAAATAATCTTTTTTAAGCTTTGATATACAATTATATCAGAAATTAGTTAATGATTATAGCTATATAACTAAAATATATAAAAAAAACAATAAAAAAATAAATTAGTAGTCACATGGCAATAACTTTTTAAAAATTTATTTATATTATTTATATATGATTCATAACAATTAATACACAAAAGTAAAAAATAAAAAATATGTCACAAAAAAGTCTACGACACCCGGTATTCCCAGGTGGTCTCCCTCCCAAGTACTAACCGGGCTC